TTGGAAACGTGTTAGCACGGCCTTCAAACGAGAGTCCTTGTTCTTACCAAATACTAATGTGTCATTTGCTACATTGACTACTCCTTTTAGTCCTTCCAAAATCTCTAACATTTGTCTTTGAAACCTTTCTGTTGCCGAAGTGATTCCCATCGGCAAGCGTTTAAATGCATAGCGATCAAATGGCGTTATAAGTGTTGTTATCAGTTGCAATCCCTTATCCAGTGGAATGTGATAGAATCTAGATGTGACGTCTAGCTGGATAAAATACTGGGAAGCTGCCTCAATTTGGGACAATGCTTTTTCGACATCCGGTAATACTAATCTTTCTCGTTCCATATTTTTATTGAAAACTGTATAGTCTACGCATGTTCTGACTGTGCCATCCGTTTTGGGCACTACCACCATTGGTGCACACCAAGGGGTTGGCTCTTTAACTTTGTAGATTATTGATCGACTTTCTAAGAGGTTCAAATGTTCTTTCGTAGCTTCTCGCAAATGGATATGAATTCTACGTGGCGTAGAAATTACAGACGGCTTCGTTCCTTCTTTTAAAGTAATGTGATACGTTTCTCCCACATCTCCGATGCCTTCAAATAGGGTTGGAAACTCCTTACTGATAGCGTTCGTGTCAGAGATCGCATTTGTCCAAGCTAACATCAAGTTAATTTTCAGTAGTAATAGCCCCAGGACATTGATAATTGTCCGAAAAAAAATTATAACAGATTTCGAAAGCTTATTGCTTGAAAACAGACCGACGCGTTAGCGGAGGTCTGTTTTGTATAAGCAACAAGCTTGAGAAAGTTGTTATAAAATGTTTGAGTATTTATCAATGTTCGAGGGTAATTCGGATAGAAATTTTTTTGACAGCAATGTCCGAGACAATGTCATACAGTGAAACCCTAGGGCTGTTTTCAGTATAATTTTGACATGGTTGGGTGATTTGTTGCACATGAAAATAAATAACAAAATTCACCTGGCTGTTAGAACTGTCAAAAAATTTTCATGCAAATTATTTGCAATATAAACACGGCCTACGTAACATTGATTTTGCCACGCAATGAATGGACCAAACGTGCCTAAAACCTCGATTTTATTTCCAGAGGCAGTGTTTTTCTGTGAAGCGACAAGTTTGATATTTTTCAAATTTGACACACTGTCGGTTTTTATTAGGGTCACATCTGCTCCAGTGTCAATTTTGACTTTTACTGAAATACTATCCATGGAAATCACGGTATGCCATCGACCAGGACTCCTACCAGCTTTTACCAAGCCCAGAAAAGCGAATTCGTCTTCGCTCAGGGGGGAGAAAGAGCAGAGTCCTGAGCAATCGCACCATCTATTCTTCGCCGGTCCTGATCACTTCTGAAACCTTCCACTTTACCGCCCAGTGTCCTGTTTCTCCTCACATGTTGCATTCATCCTCTCTTGCAGGACAATCAACGAATGTGTGCCTTGGAGTTCTTCCACATTTGCCCTTACTGAATGATTTTGGCAGCGCCCTCTTCTGAACGTAGTCAACTTCCAGCTTTTCTTCGATAATTGGATTGGAAGTAGGGAGATTGGCTCTCACTGTTACTATTGCTTGTGCAATGTTTCGGCCAATCTGGCACGCCTTACCACATCTTCCAATGTGTCATCCGGCGTGCTTGTAGCTGTACTGATAATTTATTATTCGCTAACCCTGCTATTATTCTCAATTTAATCATTTCTTTCTCTAAATTGTTCCATTCACAATTTTCGGTCATAGAGGTGAGATCTGTAATAAAAGAGTCACAAGGCTCGTCTGGGTTCTGTGACCTTTGCAAAAATTTCACCCTCTATACAAAAATTTTCTTTTGGATGAAATAACTGTCAAATTTTGATATTACAGTGTTGAAATCTGCTTGTTGTGTTTGTGTTAAATGAAATGATTCTAAGATTTTTTCAGCTTTTGTGCCTAACAAACTAAACTGATCATATAGGCAACTTGCTGTTCTGCTTAATGATAACTAAGGACTGTTCTTTTGTTTCTATTAAATGAATTGTTCCAGTCTTCCCAGTCCTCAGCTTGAAAAGAATAGTGAGATGGAGGGGGGAATTGTGGCCTGATGCATAATCACCGGTGCCGAAGCTGTGTTTCCTGCATTTAGTAATTGCTGCTGCTGCAATCTTGATAACTGATTTATTAAGTCTTGTTGCTGATTAAATTCGTCCGCACTCAATCTGATAGCATTTTCCTGTTCACTAGCCATGACTGAAAAATGTGAAGACAGTATCAACAAAACAATCCAAAGAGTCTACTTTCTTCAAAAGAAAAAAAAATTCTTACAGTCTACCGATGTTGTAGTAGATCTGGCAACAACGAAGCTACCGTCCCGTCGCATTCACCCGAAACACAAAAACCTGGCTGGGTTCTGCGTTTTGCAGGCCGCCAAGGTAAAGTGACTAGAGTCGATGGGTCACTAATGGGCTCTTTCACTAACTTTTGAAATTGGCATAATTGGATAAAGCAATTAAAAACAGAATTTTTTGTATTTTTACTTTTGAAAAATTCATAGCACTTCTTGAGAAAATAGAGAAAAAAGAAATACCTCCAAATAAAAACCCAGAATTTATTTCTATGACGTCGCAGCTCGCAATTTGACCGTGTTGCCACTAATTGTCAACATTGAAAATTTGTAATAGATTTAATTCTGAAATGTTGGAAAAATATCATGAAAAGTAGTTCAATTAATTAATTATGGATTCAAGATTTCATAACATTTTTTTTTGAAATTATGTTTAAACACAATTTAATACAATTTTTTATGTTTAGTTTTATTTATTTTTTTTACGATGCACTACATTTAGTCACAACCGACAACAGCGCATTCGAACCTTGTTGTGCTTTTACAGAGCGCAACACAGCCGAGCCGGTCAGCTTCTTGCAACAAACAACATGAGGGAAATGGAAAATATTTATGTGGCGTCAGCAAATCGACGCGTTTTAAATGATTTTGAATTTCGCTAGTTTCAAATGCCTGTAAAAACTTATTTAACCTTGTAGAATTTTTTTTTTGGTAAAATATGCCTAAAATAGTCCCTCAAAATTTGCAATAGATTTAATTCTGAATTGTTGGCAAAATACCATGAAAAGTAGGTTAATTAATTAGTTATAGATTCAAGATTGTATAATTTTTTTTTTGATATTATGCTTGAACACAATTTAAATCAATTTTTTATGTTTAATTTTTTTTTCTTTTTTTTTACGTCGCACTACATTTAGTCACAACCGACAACAGCGCTTACGAACCTTTACGTACTTTTACAGAGGGACACAGCCGAGCCGGTCACAGCTCCTTGCAACAACATGAGCCAAATGAAAAATATTTATGTAACGTCATCAATTGGCGCGTTTTAAATCATTTTGAATTTGGCTAGTTTTAAGAGCCTGTAAAATACTTGTTTAACCTTGTAAAACATTTTTTTTTTGGTTGTATATGTCTAAAATAGTCCCTTCTTTGGGATTTTATACTTTTTATTTTATTTTATTTATTATACGGGACAACCCCATTAGAGAAATTTTACAAAAAATTAAATATAAGTAAGTAAATGTGACAATATTTATAAATAATTTACTAATATGTAGATAACATTGAACGCTAAAGAAAAGGAACAATACAAATAACACAGTTAGTTGTTATTAAGGTACAAGAAGCATATTTTTGTAGTCTCTTTTAAATTTAGACAAGGACACATTAAAAATTTCTAAATCTAGATTATTAATCTTTACCAAGTTTCTATTTATTGGAGAGTATTTAAATTTTAGTGAAAGAGCCCATTTTACCGGTACTTTTCGCCCGAAACACGAAAAAAATAACCGCTGTCACCATGTAGCAGCCTGTGGTACGCTTACCTGATATCATTTGCTGGGCCCTGCGCCGATGGCTGCTATCCCGACTCTCGAGCGGCGTTGCCCGCTCAAGTACTCTATGCCACAGTAAGTGTTGGTTGGGGTAGCTAGCTATCTTTATCGCACACAGGGGTTTTTTATGAATCGAATGTTCCGTCTATCTGTGGTTTGATGTGCTAAGCTCCAAGAAGCAGTCCTGCGCGCACTCCTTTATCTGGTGTATACTCATAATGTCTCCAGAATAACCATAGCGAAACTGTCTCCATACGTGGATGACCGTGCCATTGAGGTGTCTAACGGAACACCATGGCTATACATACCATACGAAGCTGTAGAAATAACTGGACCTAATTAACGACTGCTGCATCAGTTGGAAAATTAAGATTTTCACATAAAAAGCCCAATCCGTGTTCTTCCAAAAGAAAAGGCTTGCTCGACTCTCTCTCTCCCTCCCAAATCGGCTTGACTTCATCATTAAAGCCAATGCCACGGGTGTTCCAGGCTAAATACCTGAGAATTACTATAGACGGAGGACTTACGTGGAAGGATCACTTAGAAAAAGTAAGAATCATGACAGAAAGTGCAATGGTCTTTTGAAATTATCGACAAAGCTGATGTTTATTATGATAGTAGCATACACACCTAGTATACTGGTTAAATTGTTTCGATAGGCGATGCCGTCGCCTAAATAACATCAATTTACTTTTTTTTACACAAGTAGTGCTTCCAGAACTGTTTTTTTTCCGGTAATATTTTGAGTACTATGTATTTATTTCTAAGATAAGTAGATTGAAGTGAGTCCATAACATCAGTATCCTATCTGTTCTAAAACTTGTGATTATTCCAGGTTTGGCTGAATTTAAATCGAGAAGAAAATAAAATTAGATTTCAGCAACTAACAATAGGCTACATTTCAATTCAAACCGAGTCGTAACATTAAATTTTCCCTGCAGTTTCGGCGAATAATTTCATTGTGTATTTAATGGAAAACTCTGTAGGCACCTTCCTGCATATATGATTTTTTTTAAACCTCCTATGTTTTTATTCTCTTGGCTTTCGAACATATCCCGCTAAATTTAAAATAACAATGTCATCAGATATGATCCAGTTTCCTCAAAAGAGCTCCATATCATTTAAATCTGTGGACTAATCTGAGGAAATTCCTGTCCCAAAGCGTTAAAGATAATTGAGAGAAATTCACGTTGGCTGTAGCATTTGGCTTTATTAGGGCTGATGCTGAAGAACAATTGGCTTTATCAGCTCGCATCACATTGTAATCTCTTTTTCTAAATGGAATATAAATAGGCTCTGTTTGTGGTGTTTCATTTTCTAATTTATTTGTTATTTGTTTACTACTTATCATGTTTATTTTCAAGTATTACGCACCCCATTGTTCTAGTTGCTATATTCATTTTATTTTGCACCTGAGACATTTTCATTTTCAGTGATAAATCAATTTAAGGCCACTGGAAAAAATTCTGCAGAATACCATATTGTGGGATGTAGTTTACAGAGGGAAAAGCAGAAGATAGATACATTTGAATATACTGGGTGTTCATTTTAAAACTTACCACCCCTATTATCTCGGAGCTGAAACATTTTCGGAAAAATCCCTGAAACACGTCAACTATAAGATGAAGGGGAATGAGTTTTTATGCAAAGTTCACCACCCCCCTTCAGCCCCTCAGCCACCACAGCCACCCCCTAGAAAATCTTAAATGGGAAGGGGTGTCAAGTGAAACATCATTTTGGAGGGTTTTTATTTCCATATTTTTTTGTACAAAATTTCAATACCTAAGTTCAACTGTTTGAAGATAAATTTTAATATCAAATATGATTGTTAAATATTATAGCGCTATTTGGTCAAGTTATATTATTTAAATAATTATATCACGGAAAACCTGTGGAAAATTCACGAATCTTCGGGGTTTTGGTTCTTTCTCAAAAGTACCTGTATAATATACGCAATTAACAAAAAAAATACCAAATCGGCCATTCACATTATACCTACTAAACATAAATAAACCAATATTTCAAAAAATAAAAAATATAAGATATGTATGGTTTGAAGTGTTTTTTTTTTTGTTTGGTTTTTCTCTGAGCTGCCTAATCTCTAGCAAACCTGTTGATTGTCTGTGTATCCAAAGTCCCCAAATCCTGCTTATTGGGCTCTGGACGAAGGACGAATTCGAAGCTGGATATATTCGTGTAGAAAGTAGAGATCAATTAGACGCAAAGTGGACCAGAACAACAACTTGCAGCAGTTGATATCTGCACGGTTTAGATTTTCCTTAAAAATCTTGAGACATTTCTCTCTTGTGCTTGACTCTGAATTTAGATTTGGACCCTCCAATAAATAGGGAAGTGAAAATTCCAATACGAACATCAGCAGCAATTCAATGCCAATCGAAAGCAAAATTGGATAATCAAAAATGGATCTATAAAGATAAAAAAACTATTAGGAGATGTAAAATTCTTACCACGAGGCACGTGCAACTTACATGAAGTAGGTAATAATCCCAAATAACTTATAAAATCGCTCAAGAACCATAAATCTGGAAACTGGATCTACTGAGCTCACAAAATATATTGTGGTCTACGCCAACCTCTACAAATCTTGATAAAAATCAAAAGGGCGATATGGGCGGATCTTAGATTTTTCCAAGCTCTTGATAAAGGTTCCGTGACCAGTGGTACTAAAACGAAGCCTTCCTTCTCGAACCATAAAACAAGTTCAAGGCGGTGGGAAAACCAACAAAAATATGCGCTGAACGCTGACAAGGTCAGGCGTAATTTAGAATGGGCTAAACACCAGGATTGGATTCAACTGTAACAGAAAAATAGAAAAATTTGGAAATGGGTGAGCAAAGAGATCCTTTACAATAGCGGAATCCTAATTGGTTTTGGGATAGATACCTGCCAGATAAGTTTTCATACCACAAAAGTAATTAGTGATTTATCTCAACTTTTCCCTTTTTTTCTCCTTTCAGGTTCTTGTAGAAACCAAGAAGAAAACAGAAGTTTATCCTGGAGATTTCCCAAACAGAATTATTAGTTAAAAAGACAAACAAATAATGTATCCAATTATTTATTAAATTATAAGTATTAAACATTCTCAAAACTAAAATTGATTGTGTTGCTCTTTGTTTCAAAATTGTAGCATTTTATATGAATTTAAATAAGAGGAAGATAAAAACGCTACACGTTTTGGAAATATTGACAGTTGAAAATTGAATTTTTTTCAACTTTAACAGGCTGTAAAACCTAAACGATTGATTTTAGAGGAAACCCGATCTTACATTCTTATCTTAGATTTTCATAAACTATCATTTGACACCAACTTTGAATTTAACCGGAGATTAAATTTAATTGGAATTTTCAATCATAGATTAAAATAAAAATTGGTGTCAAATGATAGTTTATGAAAATCCAAGACAAGAATGTGAGATCGGTTTTCCTCTAAAATTAACCGCTTAGGTTTTACAGCCTGTCAAAGTTGCAAAAAAGTCAATCTTCAACTGTCAATATCTCCAAAACAGTTGAACTTAGGTATTGAAATTTAGTACCAAAATATATGAAAATGAAAACCTCTTCAAAATGATGTAGGTATCACTTGACCTCCCTTCCCATTTAAGATTTTCTAGGGGGTGGCTCTGGAGGGTTGAGAGAGGGGAAGTGAATTTTGCATAAAAACTCATCCCGCTTCAAATAATAGTTGAAGTGTTTCAGGGATTTTTTCGAAAATGTTTCAACTTCGAGATAAAAGGGGTGGTAAGTTTTAAAATGAACACCCTGTATTATAGGGCATATTTATGAAAAATGTGAACTAGAATTACGCAAACCGTTAGGTAGGTTGCGCAATAACACAAAATGTTGGACTAACACAATATACACTGGAAAAATAAAGCACGAATCAGAAGACCATATGACGTGCAAGATCAGAAAAAGCATGCAGATCCAAGATGAATGAATTTGACAACAAAAATAAATGAGTGAAGAGGAGCTGAGGGGGAAGCATGTAAGGAAAGATGGATTGAAGAGGTGGCATACGTACAGTGTGTCCCGCTTAAGGACTGACTACCCTTCTAAAATTTTTGTTTTTTAACCGATTCAATTTTTTTTTTGTCTTATATCTACTCAAATTTGGCACTTATTAGGCTCATAATTTTATTTCTGCGGCTGTACTGGTGTGAAGGTTGTCCACATTTATAGGCTTGAATTTCAATAAGTACAATTAGGGATTTTTCTAGAAAAAATCTGATAGCAAATTCTTGCTTAAAATGGTCTTAAACCCAAATGTACTAGAAAGAAAGAAAGAATTTGCTTTATTGTCAGAAAATTTTACAATTTTATGGACAAAGCTGAAAAAATAAAAAACAAAACATACAAATGCAAAAGCACAGACAAAACCAAACACTTGAACAAATAGTTCATGGTCAAAATTTAATTAAAACTAATAAACAAACATCTAGGTCTAACTGCTTATACTGTGCGAGTAAGCATATTAGAGGTACTAAAAAAACAAACAAACAATAACTTATAATAACCTATCATGATACAGGAACAAAAACAAAACCTGTGAGTAAGCTGCTCAAAATTTAGAATTAGGAAACCATAAACAACTCGCTTACTGTGTACAAGGCTCTCCCCAGTAAATACACCTTCAACGCCCTGCGAAATTCGAGAAAAGATGCAATGGACCTGATGTTAGGCGGTAGATGATTATGCATCTTTTTAGCATTATAAAGTATTGAACTTTTAACTAACTCTGAGCGCGGGATTGGCAGATAAAGATCCAACTCTGCGTTTCTCAGTGGATAATTGTGAGATGGCCTCTCTGAGATAGCTGATATTAAGTGCTTACGAATTAAGCAGACGGATTCGAAAATAAATAAAGATGGAAGAGTCAATATACTAGACTTGATAAAAAATTCCCGGCAGTGAGTTCTACTACCAAGTCCCAAAGAATAACGAAGAGCTCTCTTCTGCAGTCTAAAAATGCGTTCAAATTGAGACGCACATCACGTGCCCCAGAATGGAAGGGCGTAACGTAAATGCGACTCAAAAAGAGCATATTATCCATCCTGCAAGTTGCCGAGTTAAGCTTCATGGAAACAGATTTCAGTGCAAAACAGGCCGAACTTAATTTCTTTGCTAAGGCGTCGATATGCAGGTCCCACTTTAGAGATTTATCAACAACAAGCCCCAGGAATTTCACGGAATCAACGGCCTCCATGGTATTGTTATCCAGTACTACAGATTGGAGCGAAGCTCTGTAAGATAAAACTTTGGTTTTAGAGAGGTTGAGGCACAGGAGATTTGAGTCACACCATGATTTGATGGCGATTAAGTCACTAGATACGGTTCTATGGAGTTCCGTAATATCCGGGTTGCTCCAAGTGAAACTAGTATCGTCTGCGAAGAGACAAACTTTGCCGCTAATATCCAGACTAGCAATGTCGTTAATAAATAGCAGGAACAAAATAGGGCCAAGAACTGAACCCTGAGGCACACCACATTCAATTGGTTTACAAGAGGACATGGTCGAGTCCACCCTCACAAGCTGACTTCTGTTACCAAGATAAGACTTAAACCATTCGAGAGCCATTCCTCTGAAACCGTAGAACTGTAATTTGTTAATTAAGATATTATGATTAACACAGTCGAAAGCTTTGGAGAAATCACAGAAAATTGAGGCTGTAGAGTGGTGGCAGTTCAGGCTGGAGTATACATTATTGAAAAGGGAAAACATTGCATCATTAGTACATTTGTTACTTAGGAAACCGAATTGACTGGTAGTTAGAATATTATATTTAGAGAGAAATGATAGAAGCCTCTTTTTAACCAATCTTTCTATGATCTTTGATAGCGTAGGAAGGAGTGCAATGGGGCGATAGTTTGAAGGTAGCTCCTTATCACCTCCCTTATGCAGTGGGATAATTATCGCCATCTTAAGACAGTTTGGAAAAGCTCCATTTAGAAACGACTTGTTGATCAGAGTAGTAAGATGTTTTAATGTGCAATCAGGAAGATTAGAGAACATTTTGAGGGTGAGTCCATCAGTCCCAGATGAAGATTTGTTTTTAATACCTTTGATTGTACTGCGAAGCTCTGGAACTACTACAGGCGTGAAGAAGAAACTGTGTAAGTTCACCTTAGCATTCGGGAGATATGAAAGTGGGTCCTGGGAAGGAGTTAAGGTATTCACTAAATTCTTAGCCACATCAACAAAGTAATCGTTAAGGATCTCAGGTGAAGTAGGAATTTTGCTAGATGAAGAAGCCTT